TGAATAGGGGGATTAGGGTATAGGTGCTCAGAAGTAGGTTTTAAGTGGTGGTATTGATCATAGGAAGCCTTCCTTTTAAGTATAGTAATTTTTAATCAGTTGGAGAAGAGAGTTATGGGAGATGTGATTTTATTTGGTAAGCTAAAGGAGAGTACGTGTTACCGAGGTGGAGGGAACAGATCCTAAAGGTTATGGTGGTTGGGGTAAGTGAGAAGTATATTGAATCTACCAGAGTCCCTTGTCAACCCTGTATATTATGTACGGAGAGTGCAGTTCTTCTGTTATTGTGCTTTTAACAGTAGTTTCCTGTAGAACACAAACTATATGCTCCTTAGGTGTAGTCCTAGGGTGGGTATGGGCTATTGTAGTGTATGCCTCAGGGAAGAGGGGCTTCCAATCAGAAGGCAATCTGTCTATCTTAGCCCTGGTTCCACAGGCTACCTAGACAGCAGCAGACAAGCTGCCAAGGAAACTTAGCTAGTTAATTGTGTCAAGCAGGCCAATAATCACATGTGGGGCTAATTGAAAGGCAGAGGGATAAATGGGTGGTGAGCCTCGCCTTTCTAGCTCTCAGGTCTCTTGCTTGCAAGGTTGACTTCCTACAAGACATCCCCAAGCAGAAGCCACATGGACCTATCCCGATGCAGCCCTGGGTGCTGGAGCAGCCATGTGGAGACCCCTGCTAGTGCTGAGATGCTTATTCGTTCACTGACTCAGCTTTCCTCCTGCAGTCGGCATCATTGCCTCTGTTTTGCGAGGTGGAGGACTTTGTGGGCTGGTGTTGGGTTAATGAGTTAATGTTGGACTGGGATGTTTTCGTGATGCACATTTTCTTTACATGAAACTCTCTCTTATACATGAGTTGCTGTGGATTTGTTTCTCTAAAGTACCTAGACTAATACAGAAACCGAAATGCAGCATTCTGTTTCCTCTGCCTGGATCAGGAATTTTGTGTTTCCTTTCTCAAAAGAAAATAGGAACAAATCTAACAGCTTCCTGGAGCCACTAGGCTGCAGGTTCCAGCCTTGCCTCTACTCCCCAGTACTGGATCCCTTGCCAACTAGCCAGGCTTTCTATCTGTAAAGCCCAGTTATATCCTTGCCACCAGAGGAGAGACTTGGACCTTGGCTAGGGATTATCCCCAATGGGAAAGCTACTCTGTGGGCCTTATGGGTTCCAGGAGTCCATGAGGGCATCCATTGATGCCCTGAGTGATAGGGTAGCCTGGGTCACCTCCCCATGCTGGCGAGCCATGAAATATGGATGGGGGAATGAGGAAGGGGGGGACCAGGAAGAGGAAGAGGCTGGGAGTTGCCATCCCACTGAGAAGGGAGGCAAGGCGCAGACAGGTGGTGTGAGAAGTGTGTGTGTGTGTGTGTGTGTGTGTGTGTGTGTGTGTGTGTGCTGGATATAATTGTGCTCTCCATGGGAAAACTGACAAGAGAACCCCGAGGTTCTGTGAAACCTAGCTTCGTGTCCCAGGGTCCCACCTTGCCTCTTCATGATAAATCTGGCGATCACACAGTGAGCTCCTCATCCGGGCAAACCTACATCGACACCATCTTCCCGGAAGTCTTGTTTTTGTTTTTATTTTACAGTCCATAGTACTGTCAATAATCTTTGAAAAACCAAGTTTAAATGCACCCATTTTTCTTCAGTCTTCCTTATTCAATGTCCAACTTTCACATGCCTATAAGGCAACAGAAAAGCACCGTGAGTTAGATCAGGTGAACCTTAGTTCTCATAGTGGCATCCAATGCAACGCATTATTTGATCTCTTGACTGCTGCTTCCATGCACATTGATTGTGGAATCCAAGCAAGGTGAAATCCTTGACAACTTAAATCTTTTCTCAGTTTATCATGATGTTAACCACTGGTCCAGTTGTGAAGTTTGGGTCTTTCTTTCCATTGGATTGTAATCCAGACTAAAGGCTTCAATCCTTGATCTTCATTAGCAAGTAGATCCAGGCCTCCTTACTTTCAACAAAAAAATGTGTCATCTACATATCACATGTTGTTAACATGCTTTCCTCCAATCCTTTCCCCTGCCCCCGCCCCCAATCCTTATACTCAAGTCTTCGTCACATAATCATTTCTTTGGTAATTTGCTCAGCATACAGTTTGAATAAGTATGGTAAGAAGATACAATCCTAACACACACCTTTCCTGATATTAAACTAAGCAATATTCCCTTCTGTTCTGTTCATACAACTACCTGTTGATCCGTGTACACATTCCTCACACAGAGCAATAAGGTATTTTAGAATTCCCATTCTTCTCAAAGCTATTCATAGTTTTTAATGATCGACACAAATGCATTTACATAGTTAATGAAACACTAACAAACATCCCGGTATTATCTGCTATCAGCAGGGGTCCATCTGACATCAGCAATATCACTTGTTCCATGTCTTATTCTGACTCTAGCCTGAACTGCTAGCTGTAATATTGCAACAGTTATTGGATTATATTCAGCATTCTTTGGGTCACCTTTGTTTGAGATGGGTACAAATAATTATCTCTGCCAGGCAGTTGGCCAAGTAACTGTGTTCCAAATTTCTTGGCATAAGTGAGTGAACACTTCATCAGTTTGTTGAAACATTTCCATTAGTATTATGTCAATTCCAGGAGATTTGTTTTTGACTAATGTTTTCAATGTAGCTTGAACTCCCTTTAGTGTCTTTGGTTTTTGCTTATATACTATCTCTTGACATGGTTGCATGGTAACTAATTCTTTTTGGTATAGTGACTCCATGTATTCTTTCCATCTTATTTTGATGCTTCCTGCTTAGTCAATATTTTACACATAGAAGCTTTCAATAATAGTACTCAAAGCTTGATTTTTTCCTTTAGTTCTTTCCATTTAAAATATGATGACCATGTTCTTCCTGTTTGGATTTCTAACTGTAGGTCTTTGCACGTTTCATTATAATGTTTTACTTTGTCTTCTCAAGCTGCCCTTTGAAAATTTCTATTCAGCTCTTTGACTTCATCAATTCATCCACTTGCTTTAGGTAAACAATGATTTAGAGCAAGTTTTTCTGTCATCTACTTTGATCTTTTTCTTCTTTCCTGTCTTTTTAATGACTGCTTGCTAACTGTAAGGTCATGGTTCAAATCTACCAGTTAGTCTATGGGAGGAAAATGATACTGTCTGCTACTGTATGAATTTACAGTCTTGAAAACCGTATATAGGGTTGCAATGAGTCAGATCAACTTGATGATAGTAGGTTATATATATATATCCCTATACCTAATATAATCCTAATATAATATTAGGGGGCACCCCTCCCCCTCAAACTGGACATTTATTTTTTTCACAGCTAGGCGTTTACATTTTTTAAAAAAAACAACCTTATCACCTGCAAAGTACTCTCCATTACACTTAATACATTTGTCAAAACTGCAATTCCATCCTTGGAAACAGTTTTTAAACTCATCTGTTTTGATTACTGACAGCATCAAAAAGCAAATCAATGGGAATTGGGGGGAGGGCAGAGTGGAGAACCTAAGCCCATCAGTAGTCAATTGGACACCCCCCTGTCAGAAGGGCCACAAGGAAGAGAAGAGCCAGTCAGGCTGCAGTATAGCACTGATGAAACACACAACCTTCCTCTAGTTCTTTAATGCTCCCCCGCCCCCACTACCATGACCCCAACTCTATCTTACCAATGGTACAGACAAGAGCTCGAAATACAGGGAATCCAGAACAGATAAGCCTCCCAGGGCCAATAAGGGGAGCAGAGATACTAGGAGGGTAAGGGGGCGGGAGGGCTGATCAAAATGATTGACGTGTGGCTCCCATCCCAGGGGGATGGACAGCAGAAGGGTGGGTAAAATGGTACAGCAGTCAGTGTAAAACATGAAAAAAATAATAATTTATAGATTGTTAGGGGGACGTCGGGGAGGGAGGGAAGAGGAGGGAGAGTGAAAAAGGAGGAGCTGATGCCAGGGGCTAAGTAGAAAGAAATGTTTTGAAAAAGATAATAACATATATAAAGATGTGTTTGACAAATGGATATAGGTATGGATTGTGGTAAGAGCCCCCAATAAAATAAAAGTTAAAAAAAAAGAAATAAAGATTAATGGAACAGAAGAGAGCTTATAAAGAGATACATGGACATATAATCCTTTGATTTTTCTATCAAATTTCCACGGTAGTTCAAGTTTGTAAGGATAGTCTTTTCAAAAGTAGTGTTAGAATTATTGAATAGACAGGTAGAAAATAATGAATCTTATGATCTACTGTGTACCATCCACAGACATGAACTTGAAATAGATGAAAGTCCTAAATAAAAACCATAAAAGCACAAAACTAGAAGAAAACATAATTGGAAGTCTTAAGAATCTAAGCTAAAGCCACTGCCATTGAGCCAATAGGATAAAATATAACTTATTTGCTCCATAGGGCTTCTGAGACTGTAAATCTGACATCTTTGCCATTCTCCATGAAAAAATAAGCTGCCAAGTTTCAAAAAGACATCAAGCAACCATAATAAACAAGGAATTTTAAGGGCAAGGAAATTATTCTGTATGATATTGTGTGTCGCATTATGTTGCCTAAATTCATAAAAGTGTTTTTAATTCACCTCAATAACAATACCCGCATGCATACACAAATGAAATTCAGTAAGCCTACTCATGATTTTACAGTATCATGGAGGACTCTGTATGCATAATCACCAGACACCAATTTATTAGAATCCAAAAGAGAGAGTAAAGATTGAGCTCTGATAGGAAGAGGAATGCTCACACAGTGAGTAGGTTTGCAGAAGATGGAATAAGGCAGAACTATTTAGGAACCAGACTAGGGAGTGAGGCTCAAATACACCTTCTTCCATTTCCCTACCTGATGAAAGTATGCACTTTCTGGGAGTAGAGTGTGTGCTAGGGTTTTGTTTTTTTTTTCTTTGTTGTTGTCTTTTTTAGTGTGAATTTTTAAATGAGTTAACATTTATAAAAACAATAAAAAAGTATATGGCCCATACCAATGTTGAGGATGGATTATCTAATGAGAGGTAAGAACATGCTTAGGACATCAACACAACAGGATCAGCAGTTTGGCCAGAGCAAAAACCCATACATGTCAAGCACACAGGACAGGAAAAGCAAATGGTAGCGTGGAAGGGAACTGGCAGGGCACTAAATGAAATTGATACCATTTTACAAATCTCATGTAGAACAATTATATTTCCTTTTTCATTGCAAACCAATTGGGTAAAACCACACTGTGTTAGACCTTATGTGCACAGGGGTAGACCAGGATTCTCCCAGGATGTAATATAATGTAGTGTGGTCAATTCCATGATGGGATCTACTGGAAAGCAGTTGAGCAGTTGTGGGAAGAGTAGAATGGAGTATCAGCTTAATGTGGTCACAGTCTTGGTACAATAGAAGGAGCATTTAGTTTGGGTGTGGCCTACTCTTAGCATAGATTGCTACTGTGGGGATGCTAGCTCACTTCTGCTGCTCAGTCTAGGTCCTGCATCCAGTTTGTTGACCTCCTGTCATACTGCCTGCTGATCCCAGGATCAACAGCAGACTGCTGGTCTTGGCTTCATTCAGTTCTGCATCCACCAGCCTGTGGTCTTCCTTCTTTGTCTTCCTGCTTCTTGGTTTATTGGTCCTTGCAGCTACACGCATCTGGAGAGACCTCCAGCTTGCTATCTAACCCACAGACTTGGACTGGCCTGAACTTATGCACTTTACAACTGTGTGAGCAATTACTTGATATAATTCTCTTTCTATATGCATACACATATAAGCATAACTAGCTTGATGACTCTAGAGAACCCAGCCTAAAAATATCACATTCAGCTCTCTCTTGTCAACCACATGCCAGAGGCACCAGGATCACATGATCCATAATGTATCGGGACTTGCAAAGAAGCAAACCAAAACACATCTCAGCTTGAACATACCCTTGCATTTGAAATCACTCATAGCAATACTTTTTCATTTAACCTCTCGTATAACTCATGTGGAAAGAGCCCTGGTGACGCAGTGGTTAAGTGTTGGGCTGCTAACCACAAGGTCAGGAGTTTGAAACCACCAGTGGTTACATGGAAGGAAGAAGAGGCTTTCTACTCCTGTCAAGAGTTACAGTCTCAGAAACCCACAGAGGCAGCTCTACCCTGTCCTACAGGAATACTATGAATCAGAATGGACTCAATGTCAGGAAGTTTGATTTCTGAGTTTATAACTCATACTCCTTTTGAATGCATGGATAAACAGAGGAAGGGTCCTCAGTGTGGGGAATGGCTATGGAAGTGAACATATATGACCCCCGTTTGTTTCCCTACTGCCTCTAGGCCACAGTAAGTCATGCCCCCCTGCTCCATTGTTTTTTACCTATTCCCGCGTCTACTGTTCTTCCCACATCACTCTCTATCTATGCTGCATATGGGAATTTGTTGTAATGGCCTCATGGAACTTACAGACGATACTCATAATCAAGGGGGGTTATTATGAAAGTCAATAGGTTAGCACACATCAGGATCATCAAACAAGAAGGAAACAGTTATTAGTCTCCTCGGCTAGCAACTAAGTCTCCCCCTCTCAACTGTTCTCAGTCTCTCAGCCACAAGGTCCCTTGGTCTTTTCCTCCACAGGCTGGGAAGCCAGCCTTTCACTCAGTCACACTGTCCCACAGATCCACAGTCTCAGGCCAGATGAGAAGGTACCCCCAGGCTTGGCGCTGCTCCTCATAGTCAGGTGTCCAGTCTTGCAGGCCTTTGGAACTTCAGACAGACATTTTGAACCTGCTCTTCCGCGGTCCTTGGGGTTTTCCCTCTGCTTCTGCTTCAGAGATAACTCATCCCTAGAGCCCGAAGGAAGCTTATGACAAATGAACAGTCCCCTGTACTAGTGTTACACATGCCCTGCTTTCATAGTTCCCACCCATCATTTGCTGGGCACTACAGGGACTTGGGCAGAAGAGCCATAGTAAGAAATGTCCTTCCTCCCCAAGGAGTAAAGAGTGAGGAGTATCTGAGCTCCTTGGGCTCTCCTGTTCCCATGAGGCAGAAGCCAGACTGCCTCCATTCTCCATCTTTCTTTACCTACTCTTCCACCACTCTTTTCTCCCTCAACATTCTACCTCCATGCTTGGCTTGATAATGCATTGCAGTGGTCACATAGAACTCGCAGACTATACTCATGATTCAGGTAGGCTTAGTAAGGAAGTTAACAGGCTGCCATAAGTCAGAATCAGTAAATAGTAAAAATACAGCCATTGGTCCACAGCAACACCTCTCTGCGGCCAATAGCCACCTCTTTCCAGACTTCAGCCTCTTAACCATGTGGTCCCTTCACTTCTGTCTCTTTGGGCTTCATAGTCTGTTGTCTCTGCCTCACAGTCTGTAGCCTCAGCACAGTTCTTCCTCCCTGCCACCTGGTCTCCTTGACTCGGCTTCTAGTCTTGGCCTGGTTCCTTTGCTCTGTCTTATGGTCTCCTTACCACAACCTCTATTGATTCTGACCTCAACTTCTGCCAATTCAGCCAGAGATCTCAAATATGCTTCACTGGTGAATCTTCTTCTGATGGTTCTGGGATTTCTCTGTGTTTCTGAGGTACCCCTTTTACACAAAGAATTGACTCTAATGGAGATGTGGTTTTCATCTTTCAGCAAGCCATATTTCCAAGGAAACAGAGTGATGGCTTGGTTCACACGTTCTACGAAACTGCAAATTCAACACATTCAACCTTAATCCTGCAACAGAACTTCTTCCAAAATGGGATTATAACCACAGGTACATAGGCTAGAATTTACAATACCTTACATAAGGGATTATGATTGAAAGGACCATATTAATTGACTACATTTTGTCACAGCACAGGCCATCAATGTTTAGGACCATCGTGTGCCTAAATGTGGCCCTGCCAAATGCTATATAATTCACTCACTCACTGCCATTGAGTTGATTTTGACCCATGGCAACCTTGCAAGATAATGCAGAGCTGCCCCTCTGGGTTTCCAAGACTGTAAGTCCTACTTAGTAGAAAGCCTCCTCTTTCTCCCAAGGAGCAGTTGGCAGCTTCTAACGGCTTTCCTTGCAGCCCAACACGTAACCCACTATGCCATCAAACCTCCTAGCAAGTGTTATACAGGTGGTAATTATGACTAGACACCAGCTCCAATTATTATTACACTGGGTTGGAATGACTAAGACAGTCCGTGTTAAGGACATCTGCTTTCTCCATAAAATGAGATGAATTTGCAAAAGTTGCCAACCGTTTAAAAACTGCAAGGTATGTAATTAAATGAGAAAATGGTTTCTTTTTCTATCAAAGTGCCCACTATTGGTGATAATGGAAGGAATCGGGTCTATTCCTCCACTGTTCTGAAAGCATAAATGGGACACTCTCTCCAGGAGGCAATCCGATCATGGTCATGTGTATCCCAAGGTTTTCTTTCGCCAGTAACACTGATGTCCTCAGAGGAGGGTAGGGGCTCCAAAGGAGAGGTAGAAAGTCCTGACGCTTAGAAAGCTAGTTACTTTTGACTATTCCCAGTGCTCTGGGTGGTGAAACTCAAGTCTTCCCCGTGGTTTCTGCTAAACCTCCTGTGTATATTCTGCTGTGTCATCAGCCTCAAACTCCCGTATTTGTACGTCGACATTGTTTTGCTATGTTATCATTCAACTTTTTAGGGGAAAAGGTGGTTACCAAGCCTTTTAGAAAAGTCCCTCTGGGGGTCGGATCACATTCTTGGAGAACACAGTCTCACATGGACTTGACATCTCCCTTCCCCTTTATTGCTGTTAAGCTGCCGACGACGCTTTTCTGACTTGCAGCGACCCCACGTGTGCAGAACGGAACTGCTCCGTTCCAAGGCTGTGGCCGTTCAGAAGCAGCGGGCCAGGCACCTCTCTGGGTTCAAATGTTTCTCTTTTGTGTAGAATAATGCAGTTTTCCCACATTTCTAATTTCAAGCTTATGCACTAAACCTTTGATGGTTCTCAGGAGAGTATTGTTAAGACCTTTTTAACAGGGTTATCAGTGGCACAATTTTTACAAAATTTCACTCAGCAATAATTTTACTTCCCAAACTGTAGTTTAAAAAATATGATTCAAATACTCATCTCAATATTAGAATTTCCCAAATATTGCAACCCATTTAGACATTCAACAAGGAGGGCTAGTAATTTATAAATGTGTCATACCATGCATATCCACTTTTTAAAATGTGCTTTTAAAAATGGCTTCATTTGTGGTATTCAGGTTTTTTTTTTAATTACTTACATACAAATTATAAAATAGCCCCCAAAAGACAGAACTTAGTCTTTCTTCTCATCAACCTCTTAACAGTAACAAGATGTAAATGAGACAAAAAGTTACAAAACGGACAGTGAAAGGCCTTATTTTATTTTCTTCTTCTCTCTCCCCACCACCCTCTCCAAATGGACAATTTTCTCTTATTCTTCCTAATTTCAAAAAGTTTAAATGTGCATAAATTCACATATATCTTTATTTTAATTGTTTAATTTTATGTAAATATACAAGGTATACAATATATATACAAAATACACAATATGAATTTTAATCCTTTAAAAAATATTTATAATGCTTTTGGGGTATTCTTTCAATGGTAGCATATATGTATATAATCATTTTTAACATGGAACAGACACTATTCCATAAAAACTAATTAAAAATCAAACAAACAAAAACCTCACTGCCATTAAATCAATTTGGACTCATAACGACCCTATAGGACAGGGTAGAACTACTCCTATGGGTTTCTGACACTGTAACTCTTTAGAAAGTAGAAAAATCTCATCTTTATCCCAATGAGTGGCTGGTGGTTTTGAACTGGTGACCTTCTGATTAGTAGACCAACAGACAACCCACTACACTATACCAAAATGTATTTAACCAGTACATATATATTTTTAAATTATGGTTGCCATGTTTTTCTCCAAAAAATAGTTCCAATTTAAATGCCAACCAATATGGTTTCCCCCACACTTCACTGCATCCATATTACATGTCATTAAAATATTCAGTATATGAGGATAAAACAAAAGTATCAATACTAGGGTTCTAGTCTATACTATACACTCATGAGCTTGTCTTAATCTAGTTAGGGTGCCTTTCAAAAATGTTCCAACCAAAACAGTGGTTTCTGATGGGTCAGCCAATTAAGGTAAAGGCAGATAGAGCAGCTCAGAAGGTTATGACAATGTTTTTTTGTTTGTTTGGTTGGTTGGCTAGTTGGTTGGTTTTAAGACTTGAAAAGACACAGATGGTCACAGGGACCTACTAGGAAGAAAGTGTAAGAAAATTGAAAACTCCATTGGTGAGGAAAATTCTGGAGAAATTGCACTGAAGAAGATTTCCCCCCAGCAACGCACCTGCTCATTCTTCAAGCAGGGCTTTCTATGAGAATGTCATTGGAAAACTTTAGGCCATGGATTCTACAGCACTGATCCTTCCCCTTTCAGCTTCTTCCTGTTTCCTCAGACTCAAAGACCAGTGAGAAGGAGCATGATTTGAGCCCCTCTAGGTTGCCCTACATGCCAGTTCTCTGTGGTATAAATAGAACAGCTCTATTGGATGAGGGGTCACAGAGATGGAAATACTGCCTTCAGAAGTGCGTCGACCATGATAAGGGCTATGGCAAGAAAAAAATAAGTTCGCCTTTTTATATTTTTGTTTAATAAAGATTTCTGTGACTTTCTAGCTATAATTTTTAGTTACCCTCAGAAATAAAAACAAAACACGTAGCCCAATACAGAAATGTAAAAGGTCATCCAGAATTTAAGTCTCCTTTCATGGAGGCCTACTATATTACTTGAAGGCAACGAATATTGAAAGTAGCATGGATTTGGCAGAAGAATGAGCAAATCCTCTTGGAGTAAGTGCAGTCTGGATGATCCTTACGAGAGAGAATGGCAAGACTGCATCGTGTGTACTATGGATATGTCAGAAGGGCCCATTCCTGAGAGAAGGACACAATGTTTGGCAGCTCAGTTGGTCTGCAAACAAGAGGAAGATCTTCCATTTGCTTTAGCTCTTCTTATTTAAGAACAAGTTTCAGAGTTTCTTCTGACATACACTTTGGGCTCTGCTTTCCATCCTGTCTTCTTAATAACTTTTTGGTGTGTGATGTTCTTGATGTCATTCCAAACTCTCTTATTCTTTGGACATTGGTGTTCATCGTGTTAAATTTGTTCTTCAAAGGGTAAATCCAGGTGTAATACACTTAAAGTCACATTTTGAGTCTTGTGGACTCATTTTCGTGTTCTTTGGCTTTAACCTGAATTTCCATAGAGCAATGGATTGTCTGTTCCAAAGTCGGCTGCTCTGGGTCTTGTTTTAACTGATGATACTGAGCTTCTCCATCCTTTCTCACAAGGTAGTCACTTTGATCCCTATGTATCTCTTCCAGTGAGGTTTACATGTTAGTCACAATTTTTCTTGTTGTAAAAAATGTATTGGCTTTGAAACAGTTGGTGTTGCGAAGTAGTTGGTGTTGCAGAACACTATTACATGAGGTCCAGCTTCATTTTTATCACCAAGGCCATGGTTTTCCAACTACTGATCCTTCCTCTCTGTTTACAACATTAGCATTCCAATCAACAGTAATTATCAAAGCATAATTTATCAGCTTCAGACTAAAGAAGTTGATGAAGAATTCTTCAATTTTATCATCATTGGCTTTAGTGGTGGGTTTGTAAATGTGAATAATAGTTTTCTTTGTGGCAATAAATATTATTGTTTTATATACAACATTGTACTTTGATATAAATCTTGAAATGTCCATTTTTGATGGTGAAAGTGACTCCAGTATTCTTCAATTTATCATTCCCAGCATAGTAAACGATATGCTTTTCTGATTCAAAATGGACAATAATAAGAAAGGACACTAGCCAGTCCATTTCAACTCACTGATGCTTAGGATATTGATCTTCATGCATTTAATTTCATTTTTTATAAACATTTTATTAGGGGCTCATACAACTTTTATCACAATCCATACACACATCAATTGTGTAAAGTATATTTGTACATCATTCTCAAAACATTTTCTCTCCACTTAAACCCCCAACATTAGGTCCTCATTTTTCCCATCCCTCCCCGCTCCCCACTCCCTCATGAGCCCTTGATAGTTTATAAATTGTTATTTTGTCATATCTTGCCCTGTCCGACGTCTCCCTTCACCCACTTTTCTGTTGTCTGTCCCCCAGGGAGGAGGTCACATATAGTTCCTTGTAATCGGTTCCCTCTTTCCTACCCATTCTCCCTCTACCCTCCCTGTTTCACCACTCACACCACTGGTCCTGTAGGACTCATCCGCCCTGGATTCCCTGGATTTTCAGTTCCTATCTGTTCATTTTTATGGCTTACAATTTTCCTGGATTTATGCTTTGTAGATTTTATGATCTAATTATTGATGATGCCTGCAGGTGTTGCTTTCCATTTTGAGTCATGCCCATAAGCAAATGAAGGTTCGGAAGCTTTGCTTCATGCACAGTGTTAAGGTCAACTCTTCTTTGAGGAGGCACTTCTTCCCAATCTCATCTTGAGTGAATTTGGACATGAGGGGCTCAACTTCTAGTACTTTATCAGATAATGTACTTTTGCTAGTCATAGGATTTCAATGCTTAACCCCTCAAAAGTGGACTGCCTACTTCTTTCCTAGGCTTCTCTTACTCCAGATGCTCCCCTGAAACCTGTTCACCATAGATGGAATAGTTTAGATTTTGTATAAATTGGCTAAACCAGGATTCTTTGTGCTTTGACAGCTAAGACTAAGTAATCTCCCATGATGAAAACTCTTCAAGGGTGTGGCTGCTTCCAGTATAAATAGATGCTGTGGAAAAGCTTACTTGCTTTTTGCTAACTCTGGATCCTACAACTAGCTTGTTGCCCTAGGGTACTTCAGAAGTACCCGATAGCCTGCAGTTTTTCCTGCAGATCCTGGGATTCATCATCATCTTGTATCTTGCCTGCCAGCCTAGTATTCATCTACCTCTAAGCCACAAGCCTGTTGTAGTTCTTGGGTTCATCAGTCCCTGTACATGAATGATTCAGAAGATTCCTCCCCACTAATATCTGATCCAAGGACTTGGGTCTTGCCACTTCTATAACTTTGAGAGTCATTTCCTTGATACAAACCTCTCTCTTTATGTACATATGTCTCACTCGTTTTACTTCTCTAGAGAACCCAGCCTAAATCAAGAGTGGTATTACATGAAAAAATCCTAAGGATGTGTTTTCTGCTTTGGTTTTCAAGTCTGATTAATTTTAAAAGCACTGATAGCTGCCTCTGTTAATATGTATAACTCTGATAGCTGCCTCTATTATATATAACATTGCTAATCCATAGCTTGAAGTAGCAATATTCATACACAAAATATAACCATCAATAGATTAAGTATTGTTGGAAAGCATATCAGTTTTTCTCAAACTTCCTAAGGCCACGACCCTTTGATACAGTTCCTCATGTTTTGGTGACAACCCCAACCTTAAAATTATTGTTGTTGCTAGATCATAACTGTAACTTTACTACAGTTATAAATCAGGTGACCCCTGTGAAAGGGTTGTTTGACCCCCAAAGGGGTGTTGGCTCACAGGTTGAGAACTGCTGCTCTAGGTGATTTTTCTGTTTGATACTTCTGTGTAATATTGTCAGGATGCAATGATAGAGAAAGTATTTGGTAGGTCCTACTTACAATACTTACAATAGCATTAAAGGAAAAGATGAGCTCAGGACTTCTGAGTCAAGGTGAAACCACTGCTTAAAAGATTTTGGCCCCTGAAAGAAAGCCTTATTTCTCATAGTAACAGGTTAATATTGTTTAAAACCAAACAAAATGTCTTACAAGGATGGCTGGATTACAATGCTAAATGATTGATCCCTAAAAACACTCCTACCAAACATTATTGCTTTCAGACCTATAATTAGACTTAACTTTTAGTGAATCCCACAAAGTGGAACAAAAATGATGACCAGGAAGAGAAGCGCCACACTCCAAAAGGTCTGCTTGTTTGTCTATTTTTTCTAATTGTATAAACAGAAACTTGCAAAATAAGTGTGAAAATTACTATTAAAGATGTAGGATCATGGCGCACAGAACATAAAGTTGGATCAGTTTGAGTTTGCTAATATGGGACCAGTAAGCAGATTCTTCATGCTTAAAACACCTAACTGCAATGGGGCTGATTGGGCCCTGTGGTGGCAGGGGCTAAGTGGAAGCACTTGATTGACAGAGACATAGTGGGTGTGTTTGCATTAATAGTTTAAGACAAGCCATATCACCTTATCTTGTTGACCACTTACTTAAGCAGAGTGTCTCCATGAGTGACATAAAGGGGACCCCTACTAAATATTTACTTTTTCTGTACAGGTGAAGAAATTCTAGGTCAAGTGAACAGCAGTCGCAGTCTAAAGGCCAGACTAGAGAGTTACAATCCCTTAAACTTTCCAAGGATTACTAGACACTGGTTTTGAATTTACACAAATTCCAGGAGCCTCAACGCATTTTGAAGGCCTACCAATCAGAGTGGGGGATATGGAGGTCAAGTTATTAATGGAGTCTTAGCTCATGTTCATTTCACAGTGGGTCTGATGGGCTCCCAAACTCTCTTCGTAATTTAAATAGACATACCAAAAGATGTCAGAATCCCATACTGGATCCCTGACAAGATTGTGGGAGAAGTTGGCAGCGTCCAGGACCTTCCAAGGTCATGTTCTGGCAATACAGCAGTAGCCACATACATGTTTCATGGCCCACGCCAGTGCCAGCTCCATCATGCGCTCATGCCTCATGAGAAAAGTTGGCCTTCCTCGGTCAGTTGGGCCATGGCCATTGTATTTGAAGCAACAGCATTCCTAGGCCGATACACTCATTGTCAACTACCTTGGACATAGGCGCTACACCCTATTGGTGTGCTCTCTATGACTTCATGCACCTTCACCCCATGGCTTATCTGGCAAGCTAATCTTCCTGGAATGGAATGGGAGAGACAAAGATTCAATCCAAAGAGCCATGGAGCATAGCAGTGTGGTCATCCATCTTGTTGGCCAAGAATGGGAAACTGAAACCTTTGATTTTGAAGACGGCTTTGTGAAGGTTCCCCAAGAAATTGCTCGTGTCCAAGGAAACTGGAGTTGAGAAATTAATTCATGATTCTCATCTGAATGCTAATGTTAAAAGCTCTTGTAGATATCTGAGGAATAAGTCCGCTGGAGAGAAAGAAGTGAGATGCATTTCCAGAAGCCACTATCATAAAGCCATCAGACATCTATGGAAGATAGTTTCCTCAACTATTGGCAAATATTCACTAGCTTGGTGGTGTGCCTATTTTCTCCGAGCCTGAAGACAGAGAAACAACCAGTATACGCTTATGTTTTAGAGGTATCCAAAGGAATTATTAACACAATTAAGGATCCAAATGCCAAGGAAAAACCTTTGCCTTCCCTGGGCTAATGGTACTTCCTCTTGGACCTGATGCAGTACATCTTTGCTGTGGCTCACAGACCCTTCCTCATTTACCCCTTGCCACACTTTGCCTACCAATTGGTGACAAGGTCCTTTTAGATGAATCTGTTTAAGTCTTGGACCACAAGGGATAAAGCAGAGCAGGCTCACATCACAGACATGAAATTCCCTCACCTGCCTGACTTAGAAGACCTTGGTATTCAAGCAACAACCCTGGAACTCAAAGCCACGGAGGTGTTATGTTGTCATCTTATGTACTGCTGGCTGTCTTTTGAAATTGAGGATGTGAAGTCAGCCAAGACCATCAACATGTAGTGAGCCTAGAGCAGACCTTAGTGTTTGGAGTCACAAGTTCACCTGACTATCAACTATCTACGTTCTTTTTTTTTTTTAATCATTTTATTGGGGGCTTATACAGCTCTATCACAATCCATCCATCCATCCATTGTGTCGAGCACATTTGTACATTTGTTTACCTCATCATTCTCAAAACATTTGCTTTCTACTTGAGCTCTTGATATCAGCTCCTCATTTCCCCCTCCCTCCATGCTCTCCCTTCCCTCATGAACCCTTAATAAATTATAAATTATTATTTTATCATGTCTTACACTGCCCGACGTCTCCCTTCACCCACTTTTCTGTTGTCCATCTCCCAGGAAGGAAGTTTTATGTAGATCCTTCTAATCAGTTCCCCCTTTCCACCCCACCCTCTGTCCACCCTCCCGGTATCACCACTCTCACCACTGGTCCTGAAGGAATCCTCTGTCCTGGATTCCTTGTGTCAACTATGCACATTCTTCAGACAATCCTGTATATAGTGAATAAGACCTACTAAAATGTCTTAAATTTTAAAAAAAAGAAATGTAATGATAGGTAAAGCCACGATGAAACCATTATAATTATATCTATCTAAGAAAATTGTAAACCAAAGCAATACACCATTCCTAGAAGAATTACAAAGATTAGTGCCACCTTTGAAAGATGCAGAGATGTTGGTTCCCAACATACTCCCATTTACCTATTTGATCTGTGCAAATATATATGTACGTATATAAAATAAAAACATATAGATTTTTTTAAAAGGAAACTATAGGCATAGCTTTCATAGTACACATTTCCCCACCAGGTGAGCATCAAACAACTGACTGAGTTAGTGCACCCAGTGGCATCACCTGGGAAGGTTCTCTCTGGCCACACTGAATTTTCATAAAAGCAATTTTGCTCAAATCTCATTTTTTGTTAAGGCAAATTTAAGAGAACAGCACGCAGCTGTGAAATTTTGTTTCATGTACAGGAAAAATGCTGCAGACACTGTTGTAAAGTTGAAAACAGCTTACAAGGACAGTACTATAGGGAAAACCTCATGTGTATGAGTGGTTTTCTCATTTTAAAAAGGTGAAATGTCGATTGATGACAAACCTTGTTCTAGATGTTCATCAATTTCCTGAATGGACAAAAATGTTGTCTCAGTGCCTTTGGAGTTCATTCTACCAGATCAGACTGTTAGTCAAACTTTCTATTTAAAGGTTTTGAAAAGATTGTACAACAGTTTATGACAAAAAGGCTTTATTTGTGGCAGACGGAGGACTGGGTTTGCCACTGCAATAATGTACTGTTCACACAGCCATCTCACTGCACCAGTTTTTTGGCTAAATACAGCATGCCTTTCTTGCCCCACATACCTTACTCACCTGACCTCACTCCATGTGACTTCTTTTTGTTTCCGTGAATAAAAAGGGACATGAAAGGACAGTGATTTGATGACATAGAAGAGGTGGAGAAAAAAACAAGCGGAGAAGTGGGTGAAGAGAGACGTTGGATGGTGTAAGATATGACAAAATAATAATAATTTATAAATCATCAAGGGTTAATAGTGGAGGGGAGAGCAGGGAGGGAGGGGAAAAATGAGGAGCTGATACCAAGGGCTCAAGTAGAAAGCAAATGGTTTGAGAATGATGAGGGAAACAAATGTACAAAAGTGCTTGACACAATGGATGGATGTATGGATTGTGATAAGAGTTGTATGAGCCCCCAATAAAATGATTTTTTAAGTGCTTGACACAATGGATGGATGGATGGATTGTGATAAGAGTTGTGCGAGCCCCCAATAAAATGATTCAACAAAACAAAACAAACAAACAAAAAACAAGGAAGGTGTTGTCAGCCATCCAAACAGATGAGTTTGAAAAATATTTCCGAGAATGGAATAACAGTTTTGACAAACGTATAAAGTGTAATGGAGAGTACTTTAAAGATGAAAAGGTTGTTTTGTAAAAAATTTAAATACCTAGCTTTGAAAACATAATCCAGGTATTTTGGGTACCCCCTCATATAGATATGACGTCTTGGGGAATAACAGTATATTGTCATAAATTTAACCAGGTGATGATTCCAATTTCAGCTGGTCTTCCAGATGTGGTTTCATTGCTTGAGCACCAGAAACATCTTCTGGTACTTAGTATGCAGCTGTTGATCTTGCCCATGCCTTTTTTTCAATTCCATTTTCACCAGAAGCAGTTTGTCTTCAGTTAGCAAGGCCAACAATACAAAAAGAAGTATATAGATAGACTTTTCTGAATGGGCAAAAAAAATCAATGTGAATGCTCACCAAAGGTTACTTCAGCAGAAGAGGATGTTAACAACCAAGTGGATAGGATCACATGATCTATGGAAACAAATCATCATCTTTCTTCAGCCACTCCTGTTATTGCCCAATGGACCAGCAGCAAAGACCAACCCAGAGTCTGAATACAAGACCATTCCTCAGGGAGATCAATCAGCAACCCCTGGGGCAGGTTGGTTTCATTTGACCAATTCCATGAAAGAGCGGTATTTTGTTCTTACTGGAAGTGACACTTATTCTCAGCATGATTTACCTTCTCTGTATTCAATGCTTCTGCCAAAACTACCCTCTGTGGACTTATAGAATGCCTTGTCCACTGGCGTGGTATCCCACACAGCCTTGAATCAAGAGACTCACTTTACAGCAAAGGAAGTACAAGAATGGACCCGTGCTCATGGAATTCACAGGCCTTACCATGTTCCCCATCATCCTGAAGCATCTTACTTTTAACCGAAAGATTGAATGGCCTTCTAAAAGCACCAGATTTTATGGTACCAGCTAGGTGACAGTACTTTGAAGAGTTGGGACAATGTTCTCCTCGAGGTTATATATGCTCTCTAAACCAGCAACCAATACATGCTGCTGCTCCTCCACTAGCCCAGATTCACAGATCCAGGAACCAAGCAGTGGAAAGGGGAGTGGCAATGCCACTATTATTTGAGTGACCCACTCACAAAACTTTTGCTTTCTGCCCCTTTCCCCAAGGTTCTATATTCTTCAAGTCTGAGGATATTTGTTCCAAAGGGGGAAATATTCCACCTGACAGCATAACACTGAGTTTATTGAAGTGGAAGGTAAAAATACCTCCCAATCATTTGAGGTGATATGATTGATCCTGATTGCCACAGGGAGATAGCACTAATAAAAAAGAGTATGCCTGGAACCCAGGCTATTCCTCAGGCTATCAGGATTCCCATGCCCTGTGAGATGGTGGATTTTTGTGCCAACATGGCACCTGTAAGAAGACATAGGTGGAAGTTAGCCTGTCAATCAGGTTGCAACTGATGACCTCCTTTGGAGGTGCGACGGCTAAATGGCTCCCTGGAGGCTGGCCCCTTCCTCTCTCACTCTGCCTTCACCTTTCCATTCATGATCCACCCTGAGGCGTGTGTGAACCCTGTTATGCGGCCACCGCCATTGGATCCACACAGCTCTGCACCCACCAGCCTCTGATCTTTCTGTATTCCGCTTCATTGCATATGGTTGTGTGAGTCTGAAGAGGGATTTATGGACTAGGATCGGATTTCTGGACTTGAGTTGGACTGGGCTGGGATGTTTTACTATTGCATAATTACCTCTTGAAATAAAGCTCTTTCTTACACATATATGAGTATACTAGATTTGTTTCTTTAGTAAACTCAGCTTAACACCCTGTAATTAAAGATGATGGGAACTACAGAAGCCAACTTCTGACATCACTACTAATGGCTCAGATCCTTTAGAATGCAGGTTTGGGTCCTCCGCCAAGCAAAGAACCAAAACTGTTGAGCTACTTGCTAAGGGCAAAGGAAATACAGTACAGTTGGTGGAAGAAGGTAATTCTAAATACCATTAATGCCCACGTGATCAGCTGCAAACACAAGACTTTAATTGTTATGAGTGCTTCCACCTTGTATATATGCACCAAATATTTTTTGCTTTGCTCACTAATAAAAAGATAAGCTGTAAATGGAGCCAGTGTATGAGGATGACTTGCCTCATGTCAGAGGCAAGCATCATGTTATAATTGTCTTTGTTGAGAAATTATATATGGTTTTAAAAGATCTGTAAAAATGCCAATAGACAATGGGTGGATTGTGATAGGCAAGGTTTCATGACAACTAGCCTGGGCCAGGATTCTCAGTGGTCTTGCAGTTAAGACCTAGTAATCCCTCAAGATGAGCTCTCCTGAAGGGTGTCACTTTCTTCTAAGGTAAACAGACACTCTGGAAACGCTTTCCTGCATTTTATCAGGTATGGGTCCTGCACCTGGATTTCTGACCCCCAATCTTCGGACTTGAACTAATAGCCTACTGTGTTCCCTGCTAATATTGGCAGTTGTCATCAGCCTGAATCTTATGTGCCTACCCTGGATTTGTTTACCTCTGCAGCTACAGGACTATCATCTTCTAGTCCGTCTTGGGTTTATCAGCTCTCGAAGCAACGTGAATCAACAGAAGCCTTCAGCCTAATACTGACAACACACCTGCTTCTGCAACGGTGTCAGTTGTTTCCTTGATATAAACCTTTCTCTCTGTTTTT